TCTAATTATTTCTTAAACACTTTCACTATTAAACCAAATAATTTTATAGAAACACTTCCATTATCGACATCAGGATTTGTTAGTGATTGAAAATAAAAAGTTAGTCTTGCGGAAATAAAATATTAACAAAACCACATTCTTCAATTAATTTCAAATAGAGTTTACTTTAATAGAATTTTAATTTAAGGCTTAGTTACATGATGGCAAAAATTAAGAACATGTAAAAAATATGACCTCTCTCAACATTTTCGCTGAGGAAAAATCATCTTTAAATGATTCCAGGAATCTGGCCATTAACGGATGATCCGTTAATTCTGGCACCTTCTATATTTTCCTAAAAATAAATTTATTTGATAAGAAAATTTTTTTATTATAGAGAGACGTCAGAGACCAACCGATCGTTTGCTATAAAAATGCAAATGATGTCGCATATCTTATACGTAAATAATGAAATTTTGAATCTCTAAACTGCAAAGAGTAGCAGCATTGTTGACAGTCAAAGTATGTACAAGCGAATCGATTTTTTTGCCAGAGTTGCTTTTTTTTTTTTTTTTTACAAAAGAATTTATTATCGAAGCTTGGAGGGCAACGTTTTAAACTCTCTATCCGACTTTCGCGAAACTTATTAGTTATCGACTAACTCGAGTATTGAAACCGCCTGGGGATAATAACTAAAGGAAAATTTCAGAAAATAATGAATTTGATAGAAACCTCTGCATCTAGTCGACATGTACTATATGTATAAAAATGTACAAAAATTATTCTCTTCTTCATTTTACACAATTACAATTATCAGATACTTATATATGTATAATAATAATAATATGATCAAATTATAAATAATTTTCCACGTGGATAACAAACCCCCGTCCTTTTTCTAAATATCTCAAACAACAAATTTTCGAATTATTTAGGAAATTGCATATAATTTCCAGCATCATTAGCAAGATTGAGTCATTTCGGATATTCAGAAAGAGAAATAAGTCATCATCTGCGTGAAAAGTTATTTATACGCATCGATCTCATGAATAGATAATAACATCCACCTTGTGAATAGGCTCATTTTTTTTTTTTTTTAACAAGCGTTTTTGTTCCCACAAGGGATTTCGAAATCGAGGCCTCTTCTCGATCCACGTGGCGGTTATTTAAAAATAGTTGGAAGTGGACGACTCCCCGACGACGACGACGACGACGACGACGAGCACCCGCGTGCCCGACGTCTTGTCCTGGTTCATGTAGGGCGGAATGGTACGCAAACACTCTGTATGGCTCAGGACGATACGGCTGGCTCGTTCATGCTGCTGCGGACAGATTAAGACTCCTCTCTCGACGATGACGTAACGTGCGCGCACGCGCGTGTTTGACGTTTCGAGCGCGCGGTTAAACGCTGATAATGACGCCGCGAGCCGCTAATCGCTCTTCCGATATACCTAGCTGTCGATAGCGCGCCCGCCGGGCTGTTTCGCCGACTATACTACGGGGGTTCCGATTCAAGTAAGGCGCAATCCGATCACCGTGAAATTAGTTTCGATCGATCACCCCCTTTCCCTCTCCCCTTGAGAAGAGAAGATGAAGAAGAAGGTGCATAATATAAGCGGCCGGATTTTATTAATCGCTGTCCCTATAATTGACGCGCGTCAATTTCAGACCTCTCTTGAACGAGAACAGCTTTCGCGGGATATCGTGTCATTTTGTATTTATTTATCGTCGAGCTTGCTTAAACGCTTTCGCGAAATTCTTTGACTGTAGAACTGTGAATTGCCAGATTAATGCTATAAATGTGTTCAATATCGTCAATATTATTATTATTATTATTTGTGTTTATATATATATATATATATATATATTATATACAAAAATAATTAAAAATTATATAATTCTTATTATATATGTACATATAAAATATTGAAGAGTAATATATTTACAAAAATCGCACATGATGCATATGTAAAAATATTAATAAAAAAATTTACTTTAATGAAATAATAATAGAAAATTTTAATTAAATAATAATTAATGTAATATATCCTGAATTAGGTTTCAATTTGATATACGTCATATTCTTTTAGGTCTTCCATTTCTCAATTTGATCAATGATGGCACATTTTTACTACCAATCTGAAATTAATTACTAGCAGTTCTATAACCAAAGACGAAATTATTTAGGAAATACAGGATATAGATCGACCGTCGAGGAGTATCGATATCGATATGTGTATCCGCCTAAACAGGGATCGCGTGTTATACTCCTCTTGTGTGTTGTATAACGTCCACGTGCGCCATATGACGCCTCGGCATCGGTTTCTAATAGCGTCGAATGTCACCGCAACTTGGCGATTGATGATGCGAAGGCGTTTAACGCATCGCTGTCGAGTTCTCTCGCCGTTCGAAGAGTTAATTAATACACTTTCGAAACTCCTTGCGAAGCTCCGGAATCACATGTCCCATGTCTCGCTTGACTCTACCATATACACGTCCACCTGTACTCGAGTGTCTATATTAATTTTTTTGTGTGTAATTAACGTCAAAGGGATAACCAAGGTGTGTTTTGGGTGTGTGTCTTGTTTCGATACTAATCAAATGTAAGTGTGACAGGGGTAAAAGAAAGAAAAATCTCTCCCCTGCGAATATATGTATTTTTTTTATTCTTCCATTTTTTACTCGTATATCTGCGCGTGGTATTTTCAATTTTTCTGGGACGGGATTTTCGTGAAAGAAGAACACGATGATCGAAATTCGCGCGCCGGCCGGGCAAACGAAGTTTCGACTCTCCCCCGCGGCATGAATATTTTCATCTCTCAATTTTGCTCTGTATTTCCGAAGTTTCGCGGGGTTTTTAGCCTTTGGGGAATTTCCGCAAGATAAATCGGCACACTCACACACACGCAATAACAGGTATATACAGTTAGAGTTCCGCTAATAATAAGAGACTGGTCAACAAGTGTCCGCCATGATGTTTTGGCAAAATTCTACGAGAGAGAAAGAGAGAGAGAGAGAGAGAGGGAGCGATACATATGTATATCTATCTCTTTCTAGCTGCCATCCATATAGTAAACACAACCTTCCATAAAGTTATTATTTATTACTACAGATAAACATTTATTTTTTTAATCATATTGCTCAAATTTATAATTATTCAATTATAAATTGAACCCAAATAGCAAACTGACATCATGCAGTAAACGTTAAAATGACATCGTTTTGACGTTTAATGACGTCAATGTGCTGGATTAGGAGCTGCACATCCACCATTTTTGTAATGAATAGTTTGAATGCAGAAGCAAATACTCACAGAGGTAGCAAACTGACGTCATTAAACATTAAAATGGCGTCATTCTGACGTTTAATGACGTCAGTTTGCTACCTATAGGTATTTACTTCAGCATTCAAACTATTTATTACAAAAATAATGGATGTGCAGCTTCTAATTAAACAAAAAGATTTATTTTCACTATATATAGGTCATTCATTTTTAAATTATATTGTTATAAAATATCCAATTATTCAATTTATCATGATTGAATATCAACGTGAATGACGAATGAAAAGTGGCCAGTCTCTAATATATACAATATTATACAATACGAGTGCATCGCCCTCTGTCGGAGCGCAAAGTAGAAGCAGAAGCGCAGATCCGATCCAGAGATGGGAGGTTAATTCGACATTGACGTGAGACAGATGCGTCGTCGGAGATGTGTCCCGACGACGACGAAGGATGACGATGTCATCGATTTTTCATCGCGTTTCCGCTTATCCGATCCTTGATATTTTAACCGCTCGATTGTGCCGCGTCGCGCGCGCAATTTATTTAACTTCCGTCGATCCGTATCTCGTGATTCGCGTCGTCCCCTGCTTGTATCGATTATCCCCGCGCGAGAGAGACGCGCCGGTTATTACCAACCCACCCGCCTTTCAGCTACTCTCTACTCCCTATCAACGGATAGCGCGTCGATTCCTCCTGCGCGCGAGTAAACAAGGGAGAGCACCAGAGGGAGAGAGAGAGAGAGAGAGAGAGAGAGAGAGAGAGAGAGAATTCGTTTCGCGGTATCGCGCGACCGATATTCCACAAATTCCACGGAATAACGCTCGCGCGTTCCTGTGCGTCATACATTATTTCCCCGGCCGCGATTCTTTCGACGACGGTGACCGATTTTCGCGTCCCCTGCGTAAAAATCCGATAAATCAAGCTGTAAAAGCGGGGAAATGGAAGAGAAAGACCTAACCGAGAGAGATCGATCTATCGAGAGATCTGGTAATTTTTTTCCCTTTTATAAAAAGAGCAAAACTTCTCTTAGACTCTCTTCACTTTGGGGGTTAATGCCGACGTTTTTAATGACGGAGGAATTAATAGGAAAAAGGGATCTTTATAATAGCCCGAGAGCCATTTATTTCTTGATTATTACTGCTGGAAATACATGTGAATTATGTGAGAGGCGCGGATTATCGAGCGTGAAACGGTTCTTACTAAAAAAACAGCACGCTTTCTCTACTTAGAGCGAGGTTTATTGGCGCGTTTGAAAATCACGGCGAGAAACGTTTTCGCTGTATCAGCGACGTTTACGTTTTAACGACGATAAGCGCACTGGAAAACGAGTGTTTAGAGCCGATTCGTTCGATCGGAGCAAGCAGATGCGACGAATAAAGGAAAAGAAAAAAAGGAGAGAAGGAAGCGAGATGGAAGTGACGCAAGTTACGGAAGATGGGACGGATAAATGAGCTTCTAAATGAAAAAAAATTAATAAACAAATACAATTATTTATCTATAAATTTCTCGAAAGCACGCAGAGTAAGACGTCTCGAATATATAAGATAACGTTAAGCACATCTCACAACATCATCAAAAGCCAAATGTCGCGCAGGTGGTTGAAGGGGACTAAAAAAAAAAAAAAAAGAAATTTCTCTCATCATAAACCACACACACGCACACATCTCTATCTCTCGATGTATCTGACTGCTGCTCAGCGATTGATTAATTTTGTTTGTTCTGTTTGCCATGTTAGATGGGCCCGCGGTTGTCCGCGTCAACATATTTGTTCGAAGTATCTCAAAAATAGATGACGTTACCATGGTAAGTTGAAAAAAAAAAAAAGAATGCAACGCCCCGTGATCACAGACACACACATATGTGCCTCCTCTTTTTGTCTACCGTACACACATACACACGCACATACATACATACATATACCTACAATGCTGGGTGTTATTATACCATATGTATTACAATCAGCGCATATTACCTTCCTAAGGGAGCTCTCTCTGTGCAAACTCTGTACATCGACGTAACGCACGTCGGCGCACAAACAAACGCGCACATCAGCACGCGAATGCGTAAGTGCGTGCATTCCTAGGATGCCTCGTGCGCTGCGGGGGTGTATAACGATCACATACAACAAGAAGACACGAGGACGCACGGGATATCATGTCTCCCGTCGCTGTCGACAATGGAACTCGTCTTCGACGAATTTGGGGTTGGTTTTTTTTAGGGCGAGTCTGTAAAGTAATAGTGCAAAATTATGATATTGGAATTTTTGATGGAAAATTTCGATATCCCGAGTTTTCTCATTTTTCATTTTTTCGATCGAAATATATGACCCAAGTAGCAAGCATTCATCATTTTGCTACTTGGGGAGCCAGTTTCATCTCCGGTCAACTTGATTGGCTGATTCAATTTAAGAATTGTTGCCGACCGCACATTTAATTATGTGGCTGATGTTGATCAGTTTTAAGCTTTGCAATTGACAATTCCTAGGTTTGTTTTCTATCCTTGTATTGGTTGAACTGTTCACACTGGTGCAGGAATAGAAAACAACCCCATAACAGTACATAAACGTTCAAAGGATTTCCAGAGCACATTTAGAGGTTATTTTATATCCTCTGAATGTTCTCTGAACGTCTTTCGGGCATGTGTGCTGTTGGGGAAGCCTCTTAAATTTAATAGATCGATTAGGAGTAAACCAAAGCTGGCGAAGAAAATCCTATTCCATCAACAGCGGTGGGGGACACTTATTGTGCGTGACACCTACACACACACACGTTAATTTACTTGTTTACCATTAAGTCGCTGTATAGTATATCCTCCTTAATGCCCTTTTTGATCTCACTGATGTATAGAAACACACACACACACACACACACATACATTTTCAATCTCTCTACTTCTCTGTGTCTCTCTTCTCCTCCTCCGTGCTAAACACCAAAACACCCCGTTGCGTATATCTCGAGGCCCGCTCTCGTGGCTCTTTTGTAACTTCACACCTATATACCGTCATGTTCTCTCTCTCTACGTTAAGCAAGTATCTATTCTGTATCTGTCTATGAATGAGCTGGGACTTACGAATAGCACGACGCTCTCCCACACCCTCTCCCGCCTTCGCCTTCGATATTAAACGCGATACTGAACGCATGGCTGGCGGAGAGGCTGCACTTTCAGAGAGCAAAATTCAGATCGAGCGCGGGAATGAAGGGAGAGATGATAATGGAATGCGATACCAACTCGACTAACTAAATTATACTGATAATTCTGCGCCCTACATGTGTAAATCAGACTTTTCTAAAGAACTTAAGACTCCTTGCTACTCATCGCAGCCGCGTTAAATTGTGACGTCAGAGGCTAGATAATACACAAAAGATATTTTGATGAAACAATCCAGGTAGCTAAATTAGTTATTTTGACGTCATTATAACATCAAATTACGTCAAAGTGACTAATTTTGCTACTTGGGATATTTTCCCAAGTAGCAAACTGACGTCATTAAACATCATTCGACGTCAAAATGACGTCAGTTTGCTACCCTGGGATCTTTTTATCTAAAAATGGTACGCAAAAATTTTCAGCGTGTATTTTCTCGTCTCTGACGTCACAATTTAACATGGCCGCGGCGTGGAGCCTTAAAGAATGAACAACCGATTGGAGCAACTTTGCGTGAAAATTATTTTATCGATTTAATATGTTACGTCGATTTATCAGATTGCTTGGAATTTTGAATTTCTCATTCTGACGCAATCTGAACTTACCCGAGACGAGTATATTCGTATATTGATTCGATCTTTCTTACTTGGCGTCGTGCTGTGCGTAATTACGAGATTCCATTAGAGTATATAGTATCGCTCACCCGCTGTTGTGTGGTAGATGATTTGATGGAGTTTCGTCTCTTTTTGACTTGTTCCGATTATGTTTATTCGCGTTGGGTCTTTGACGCCAAGTATACATCTATATATACATACATACATACATACACGCTCTGCCTCGCAATACAGCAGATACACGTACATTTATTAGCGCGTTTTCTCTATCTTTCTCCTTTTCTTTCTCTCTTATCTACCATTTTCTCATCTTCTTCCACACACATAGACATTATCTTTCTTCCTGCTCTCTTTCTCTCTTTCGCAATATTATAATGACACATCCCTAATGGCACACCATATCCGAAAGACATCTGGATATCCAGAGGACATTCGAACATCCTCAGGATGTTCTCTGAACGTCTTCGGGATATGTATATCATTAGGGATACACACGTGTACATACATACATATTATCGGATACCGTTGATTTATTCATTGATCTTTTACTGCACCGTGCGATAACCAACACACTCGCTAAGGCATTTTTCGTGCTGCTATATATATATACCATATATATACACAAAACTCTGCGGTAGTGTGCAACCTTTTTTATCTCTCATTCTTGGTAATGACTTTTTTTTCTTATATCGCTAACACACAGAAAACGTATATCTCTCTCTGTATGCTGTACCTGTTAAGCCCATCTATATGAAAATGAAACACCTCGTGGCGATGTATATTTACATACACCTTCGTTGGCAACGAGGGGGAAATGATCTTCTCGGCTCGAAAAAGCTTTTCTTGTAATCGTCGCGGCGAAACCCCGAAAGCGCGATTCACGTCGTAATCGCTAGCGCGAATCAACGGGCTTAATGCAATCGCGATTTAATTGCGAGGATCAAATTTTCAACAGCCGCTCATCGTTCGCGCGAGCCACAAGATTTACATTCAACACACATTTCTCATTTCTCTCTCTTCGTTAACGCACATCATGTAGATTATAACGTTAACGTATATGTACTATATCGTAGAGAGTAGGTATATATACATATAATGTACGTATATGTATGTAGGATACAGATTTTCCTTCGCTCGAGGATATCAGAGAGGAGGGTGAAAAGGTGAACGGAGGGTCGATGAAAGATCAATGTTGATTAAAAGGTCGGAATTTTTAAATATACTCCCGATGGTTGCTAACGTGAAATTTTGTTGCAGCTATTTTTTGTTTTGTTTTGTTTGGAACAAATATATAGCCTCTGTTTGCTTGCAGACTATAGTGTGTAACTGAAAAAATATATATAAAATCGAGGGGGTAACCACTTAATGTAATCGTGGGACAGTGTCCCCGAAATCATTATGAAATCCTTATGAAATCCTTATGAAATCCCGTGTAATTGTTTGCAATCAGATGTAATTGATAAAGTCAAATGAAATCATGCGGAATCATTAGAAATCATAATGAAATCATATGTAGTCAGCAGAAATCATTTTGAATTTTCGTGTAATCATTGGAATCATGTGTAATCATTATGAAATCTGTGATGAAATCATGTGTGGCACGAGCACTTTCCGTAGTAAATTGCGATCAAATTCAAGATAAAATGCTATTTATAATTTTATGTGTCACATAAAATCCCAAATGATTACATGTGCAATCACGAAAATGTATTGTGTAATCAGATGAAATCATTACTTTTATGAAATGATTGCATATGTAATGAAAAAAATCCATTTGCAATCAGATGAAATCATTTGTAATCAGATGAAATCATTTATAATCAGATGAAATCGTTTGTAATTAGATGAAATCATGAAATCAAATGAAATCATGTAATCTGTGGGACAACATTTTAGCTAGTGGTTATCCCCTCGTATAAAATACACTATCAGACTTTTTGGTGAATTTGGAGATTTTTTTTCATGAAGAGGGAAGTCATCATTATTTGCATGTTCCCAATTTTTATCATCATGTATCTTGGTTAAGCTTTAAGTTAAAATTCTATCAGAGTAAATTCTACCTGAAGAATGTAGTTTTATCAATATTTTAGCTCTAGTAAAGTGTTTAGTTTGAGAGAAGCCTTTATTTTTCAATTATTGATGTCTCAACACCGAGGAAAAATTTCCACATTGACTAGAGAATTTGATGGTGTGCTCTATATACAGGGTGTTTCCAAAGAAATGATCAGCATTCTTGGACATGATTGTATACACATCATTTTAAGCAAAAAAGTTTATATAAACATGTGTCTTATTCTGGAGTGTTTAGTCTTTACAACTAATACATTTATTAAATTAATATAACCAAATTCTTTAAAAAATTAGCTTAAATTTTAAGCTTACAATAAATTTGAATCACTAATATTAATAAACAATAATTTCAATTAATAATAATTTTTGGCATAAATGAGTACAAAGTATTTACAGAAATAACTTCTGTAATCATTGTAACAGGAAACGAAAATTTAATGTAATATAGCATTTGATTCTACTAAGTTAATAAAATGTTGTCCTTCTTAAGATTAAACATGTATCTTTAAAACTGTATAATTCCAAAATAGGACAAATTCCTGATAGCAAGCATACGTCATTATGACGTCTTGTTTTACCGACTTTAAGTTAGGTTCACTTTTTATTAAATATACAGATTGAAAAATCCTCTACAACGAAAGTACTGATAATAATGAATGGGGAGCGTTGTCCGGCAACTCTAATTTTTGCTGTTTTATGCCTTCAAGTACGAATCTTTTCATACAAGCTTTTAATCTTATTTTTATTACTTCTGTATTATTCTTTCATGTTATTTCTATTAGGAGCGCCATATTTTGTGCATAAAACTGTAGAATTTTTGTATTAAATATTGTTATAAGCTGATGCAAGAGACCGATAAAAGAACTATAATCTTTTAACTTGTGTTTTATACGAAATTTCAGTGCTCTCCGTTCATTATTATCAGTACTTTAATCGTGGAGAAGGATTTTTCAATCTGTATAGCCAATAAAAAGA